TACTGAGTGAAAAATACATGCCCGCCGTATTTTATGTAAAAATCACTACGGGTAACGTAAAATTTAATAGTCAATACATGGCATAATTGTCAAAAATTAAACATCTTGACTAAATAGTTATTAGACTGAAATAATAAAATTAAAAATGTTTTTGTGTCAAACGTTCAACAGAAGTTGTTTCATCATAATTTTTTTCTAGAAAAGCTTATGATTAATTTAAAAACATGTTATTGTTAAAGACATGTTTATTTTTTTGTCAATAATGACATGTATTTACTATTTCCATTCCAAATATCCTGAGAAGGGTTGTTCGTAGCGATTTTTACCGAAAGACCTTTTTTACGTAGAAAATTACGGAAATGTATATTTTTCACTCAGTAGTTTTATACGGTTTATAGGTACGGATGAAAAGTTATTATCTATTCTTCAACTTTACTGTGGAGCTGTCTCAGAAACCGGCTTTTGTTAAAGCCCAGTGACTGTATGATAAGTTATAATTCGCTATAACACAAGAAATGGGAACACATAATAGATCTGTAAGGTATCGGTGATTAACCCTCCTCCTAAACATCTACATTCTACTTTTCAAAACAGCTAAATATGTAGGTGGCGGCCTCTAAAACTAGAAGTCATATTGAGATCGAGACAAATTTCTCATGTTTAAAAAACACCCAGACACAAATTTTTATCAAAATATTGATTGTAGTTCAGAAATTATTTGGAACAAACCGATATAAAAATGAAACTTTTACACCCTGTATAATAGTGACTTCTTATCTCCGATTTAATTTAACAGAACATCTTTTTTTTCTACCAATTTTTGGACGTCGCACATATGGCAAATATGCCAGTTTAGCGTGCCAAAAATAGTTGTATATATTCAAGTGATTTTTTATGCTTGAATTTGCCTGAAATATCATTGTAAGCAATCAAATAGACAAAAAATATACGAGTTTTTTTTTATTAACAGAATGCTTTCACATTTTGGATAAAAAAATATTTTTCTTAAGTTCCTACCTTTTTCACTATCTAGGTACTATGTTAAAAGTTTAACTTTTGGCAATAGTGCAAAAATTAACTCATTAGGGCAAAAAAATGATAAAAAAATAAATTGTGCAACAGATAATAATAATAATAATAATAATAAATGTCTTTATTTAAGTCAGTTATAATAACAAATAATGATTACATAAATTTTTAGACGGCGAGATCTAGCATAGCTACTCCATCTAACCGTCGCAGGAAATGTGTATAAAGATATAAACAAAATATTTATCCATCTATATGCAAATAGATTCTCCCATTTCTTAAAAAGAATGTATTTTATCTTTTAAATAGTACTTCCTTTAATTTATATTTAAAACTAATTATACTTGGCGAATTTGTTACAGTATCTGGTAACGAATTGAACAGTTTAGCGCCGTTGTAGCTAAATGACCTTTGGAATAATGCAGTGGAGTGTTTTGGTATTACTAATTTATTATTATAGCGGGTGTGCATGCCGTGAACTTCAGACCCCTTTATAAGCTTTTGTCGAAGATAAGTTGGAAGACCGGTACTCAATATCTTAAATACCAAAGTTGACAAGTGAGCAGTATATCGTTCCTCCAGAGTAAGCCAACCTGACATGCCAAAGAGCGGTGTAACATGGTCGTACTTTCTAATACCGTAGCTGAATTTCAAACAATAATTTTGTAGCTTCTGCAGACTTAATTTTTGACTTGAAGTCAAAGCTGGCCAATACACTGTGTCACAATAGGACTGACAAGAAAGAATCAACGCATCACACAATTTAAGTTTAATATCTGAATTTAAATAGTCTTTATGCAAATACAGTTGTTTGAGTTTACCATAACTTGACTGAAGCAATCTAGAAATATGAGTTTCAAATCTAAGTCCAACATCCAAATATAAACCGAGATTACGACAGCAGTCAGTACTGTTTATAATATCATTATTAATTTTGATCTTAAAATTAGTATTATCAATAATATTTTTCCTATTCCTCCCAAGCAGTACCATCTGAGTTTTTTTTGCATTAAGAACTAGACCGTGTGCACTAGAAATTTTGTATATCTCCGCCAAATCTGAATTAATTAGTGCCACTGCACTGTTAGATCGAACCTCCTCAAAAGAAAAATACAACTGAAAATCATCGGCGTATTGATGGGAGGAACAATATTCGAGGCATTTACAAAAGTCTGCAGTGTAAATTGTAAATAATAGTGGTCCCAGAATACTGCCCTGTGGAACACCTCTAGTAATTGATACAGTATCTGATGATTTACCATTACTAAAATTCACTTTCTGCTCTCTATTCTCTAAATAACTTTGAAAGAAATTAACTGTGCTACTATCTAATCCAAAATATGACAATTTTTTGCATAAAATAGTATGGTCTATAGTGTCGAATGCTTTGCTATAATCTAGCAAGACCAAACAAGTGTTTTCATGTTTATCATATGCTCGGAAAATATTATCAGTGACATCTAGCAGAGCTGTATTAGTACTATGATGAGGGCGAAATCCGGACTGCGTACTTGGAAGTATATTGTTTTTCGCTAAAAACAGACTAAGTTGCTCATGGACTACTTTTTCTAATATTTTTGAAAGTGTAGGCAGTATACTGATGGGCCTAAAATGAGAAATTAAAGTAGGTTTTGAAATCTTGGGAATGGGTATTATTTGAGATGCTTCCAAGCAGATGGAAATTCATTTAACGACAAACATTTATTAATAAGAAATGCAATATGAGGTGTTAAAAAGGGCGTTATAATAGATATCATTTTTAGGTTTATACCATCACTGCCAACAGCACTAGAAGTTAATTTAGAGATTATTTTCGAAACAAGCGTACAATCTACATTTTTAAAAGTAAATTTTTTAGTATTTAGTGTTATTGTCTTATTTACATAATTTTTGTCTAAAAACTTGTCATTTCTATCAGTGGCAGGAATATTCTCTGTAAAATGCCTATTGAATTGATTAGGGTCGTTATGGATTTCTTCAGGTTTTATGTCGGCAACCGATTTAATATTTAGCCACCTTATTGTCTTCCAGAACTGCTTGGGATCACATTTGAATTTATGGACAAGATAAGCTTTTTTCTCGTTTCTCACTGCCATACTAACAAAATTACGCAAATCTTTATAATAATTCCAGGATGCGTCCGTTTTAAGTTTTTTATATTTTGAAAGGGCTTTCTTTCGTAACTTCATCATCATTTTTAAGTTCTCTGTAAGCCACGGAGCAGGAGCTTTGGTAAATTTAGATGATTTAATGGGAGCGTGATCATCAAAAATTGAGTTTATGTTAATATTCAGGTATTCTACGATTTTATCAACTTCGTCCAGACTATATATATGATCCCAATTGCGCATCTCTAAATCATTCATAAAGTCGATATAATTAAAATTTGAATAATCACGATATGTACGATATTTAATTTGGTCAATTTTAGTAAAAATTTTCAGTGTACAAGTAACCAATGAGTGATCCGATATTGGATCCATATCTACAATATTTACATCATTAATTAAACTAGGACGAGAACAAACAATAATATCTAGCAACGTCTGAGAAACATTAGTTACTCTAGTTGGCGAATCCACCATTTGTGTTAAGCCATATTTGTTGAACATTTTTTGTAAAATATTATTGTCGTTGTTCAAATAATTGACATTTAAATCTCCTCCGAATAAAACGCAGTCAAATTTAGGCAACACATCAATCAAAGTATTCTCCAAACCATTTACACAGCACAACAAATTAGAATCGGGAGGACGATACACCGATCCCAGGCAAAAATTTAACTTACCCACCCTCACACTCACCCAGATCTGCTCCAACGTAGAGTCATCTAAGGGAACCGTTAGAACTTTGCATTTTAGTGAATTTTTAATATAGAAGCACACTCCACCACCTCGGCCATTTCGATCATTTCGTATTAAGTTATAACCATTTAATAAAACAGCCCCATCTGTCACGTTACCAGACAGCCACGTTTCTGAGAGTCCCAGAACATCATAGTTTTCGCCAATTACATGCTCCGCAAACAAATCAATATGTGCGTGGACAAAATATGTGTGGACAAATCGTGCGTGGACAAAATATGTTTTAAATATATCAGATTTTTTTACTTTGGCACGCTAAATAAGCATAATTTTCGTATGTGCGTCGTCTGGTGAAATAATCGTCTCTTCTTTCCTTGGACGTAACTTTATAAGTCGATTAAACTTTCTCGAGCGCATTTATAAGATATACAGAGCGTCACGAAATATTAATAGGGACATACCTCGTAAATCCATCGGATGGCTTATTTTAGAAAAAAAAAATGTTTGTTTTAAGGTTTTTGACCATACGACGATGCATTTGATACCACTGCGTCAATTTGCATTAACTTCGTTAAGAGGTCGTTCACCCAAATTAAGTCGAAAATATCAGCCATTGCCTTTATGGATTGTAATTCCTAGGTCAAGATCTCACGGAGGTAATATATTGCGATTTATTGTTATTTTATTGAAAAATAGCTACAAGGTAAAATATTAAATTGAATGATTTTTCTGTTATTCTTGAAAGGTTACTTATAATGATCATGGCTGAGGCACGTAGTACTGCTGTGTTATTTCTGATAATATGTTAATATTAATATTTACTTTATAAATAAATTTAATTCTACAAGGCAAGAACTTTACTTTTTGTCCTTTAATCTATCTTATTAGTCAAGTTCAAAAAGAATTCAAAAAGTAAATAATTTTAAAAGAAGTAAAATTATTAGAGAATTGTTACTGAGACAGAAATATTATTTACCATTTTGTTAATTAAATAATTACTGTGAATATCGATTTTTTGGTCCTGACTATGCCTTTATATTTTTCTGGTATTCGGACAACCATTTAAATTTGCAAATTTTTGTTATCTTCCAAATTTTATAATTAGGATTTTATTTCAATAAATAAACCCTGTTATACACTAGCTACATGCAGTACCAATGTACTTACCAATCCATGATCCCATTTCATCATCTATTTGCATTGTACCATTAGCTGATTTCAACTGTGGTAATAATATTGCTGAGTATCCCACCGGCATACCACAACTAGCCGATGTCAGCATTACTGCACTAGTAAGAAGAACCTGAAATTTTAGAATATATTATAGAAAGTAAATCACAAAATCAGTATTTTTAGCTTTTGTTAAAATGAACCCTAAATCGATAGTAATTATTATATTACTATTGCAAAAACTATGGCTTGCAAAATAAAATCTTGGTGACCACTATTCAACAAGGCACTATATTTTTAATCGTGGATGCGCGATTCGCTTAGCACGTTAGGCTCATTAGGAGATGATTAAAATGTATCCTATGATTAAAAGTTAGAGTTCTAATAATCTGTATAGTATAGTGGTAAATTAGAGTATTATTTTGCTGTTGTAGCGCCAAAGGTTCCATCGTCAATAATTGTATTACGATTAAACTGCATTTTTTCAATATTAACAATTTGTATGAATCGACTTGTTCCAAATTGATGTCATTTATCTCTTATTCATATTGACTTCTGTTTTACCTAAAATCATAACTTTTGTTTTAATATCATTGATTTTTAGATTGCTTTCTCCAAGAGCTTCCAGCCAGATTTCTAAATTTCTTTTCAGTTCATTTTTGCTGTTAATTAAAATTGCCAAGTCATCTGCAAATGCACATTCTTTTATCCAAATTGGTTGTAGATTTCTATGACCGGCGTATACTCTTGTAACAGCTGCACTTGTATCCTTTATTATGTCATCCATAACTAAATTAAACAGGGCCGGGCTGAGGACTCCACCTTGTCTCAGCCCTTTATTTACGGTAAAAATATCCGAAACCACATTATCTGTTCTTACATAGTTCCTTGTGTTTTTGTATAAACACATTATGGCACTTTTCAGCTTTGAATGGACATTCCTTTTCTTTAGGCTATTGCACACGACTTGTCTCGGTACCCTATCGAAAGCTTTTTCGATGTCTAAAAATGCTACATATATATTTTTCCCCGTTACTTTTATTCTTTCTGCCATTTGTTTGAGCGTGAATATATGGTCCTGCACACTTCTTCCCTTTCTGAAACCACTCTGTGCTTGATCGAGTAGTTCATCTGTGTCCCCCTTTAATCGTTGCTCCAGAATTCTTTCAAACACCTTCGATGGTATACTAAGCAAAGGGATGCCTCTATAGTTTGCACATGTTGTTTTATCACCTTTCTTGAATATAGGCAAAATAATTCCCAATTCCCAGTCTCTGGGTACCTCCTCTTCATTTATAATTTTATTGAGAAAATCAGTGAAAACAGTGACAGCACTTTCTCCTAAATTCTTCAACATTTCTCCTGTTATATTGTCATGACCCGCAGCTTTCCCCTTCTTCAGCATTTTTATTGCTTCGATTACTTCCGTTTCGTCAATTTTTCTATACGACGTTGTGTTAATATTACTTGCAGTAATTTTAGTATTCTAAATTGCTGTAATTTTATTTTGAGCCATTGTCTTTAGGTGGCATATTTTTGAGTTATTTGCAGATATTTTAATATACATGTACTTATTTATTAAAGAGAAGTTTACAACGTAAAATAATAAATAAGTAATTATAAAACTTTTCAAATTATATTATTATTTTAAGGGAAAAAAATACAAATCAGAAATCTCAACTAAAAAAAAAGTCCAAATAAAATTTTGAAAAATAAAAAAATCATTCCTGTATTAGCAATCAATTTCCACTTTAAGTTAGAGGAAAAAATATTCTTTGAAGCTTATATTTTTAATTACCTGAGCTAAAGTCTTACGAAGTGTCCCGTTGTCTTTGATTGGCTTTGTGTCCTTTAGGGGAGTATATAAATTGCATGTTGAGCATTTTATTTTTCTATCGACGTCAATACTATAACAAAAAAACATATTAGAACATAAAGGCATATTAGAACATATAAAGGCAATTAAATGTTGTCTTAACCCAAGGTTATTATACTCTAAAGGTTACCTCACCTAAGCCCAACCAATCATAGCGCGTGACGTCAGCCCGAGACCCAGTTCCTCTTTGTCTAGCCTAGAAGTTATATGGATTTTGTCTCTCTCGTACTAACAGTTTAAATTTGTATTTTGTCGTCTCTTTAAAATAATGCAAAATACAAAAAGATTGGTATTATTTTGTAATGTTTTATATTTTTTTCTAAAATGTAAAAAATTAAATTATTTTCATATAATTTAAATGAAATGTGTAAATGTATTAAAACGTAAAAAGTTAATTAATTTTGAAGATTTTGTAAAAGGATCTTATCGTGAATAAATCTTGATTTTCTTTTTCATAAATATTTTGGTATATATTTATAAAAATAGATACAATAAATAAAATTTAATATTTGGAAATTATTATCAATACCCTTACATTTTTATTTAGTAATATATGAATTTGTATAGTTATTGAAATAAATAAATCAAAGTACCTAATCAAAGCAATAAATTATTTATTTGTAATATAAATGATGTATATGCAAATTTAGTACAAACAGTTTTAAACAATTCAGAAATACCAATTTTACGACATGGTTTGTATAATTAATTTCTAAATATGTATATAAATAAAAATAATTTACATTGTAAAAAAAAATTCTTAGCATTTCTTTTTTATTTTCTTTAAACTTAAAGTTTAAATTTAGAACAAAAGTTGAATTTAAAATTTATAAATAAACTAACCGACTTAGTATTCTACTGTTTTATAGGACTTTTCTGCTTCAAGTGTAGTTGAGATTTTAAAAGTTGTTTTTGTTATTTCTTAATTTTTTGGTCCTCTGCCATCAATAATTCTTCCTTTAGAGATAGGATAGTTTTCAATTCATTATATTTTAACAATAATTCATCATATATTGGATGACCAACACAAGTAATAACAGCTCCAGATGCTACGGTACTGTGTTCCTCGGCAACATTTACATTGCCTTCCTCGAAATTTTTCATTAGTAATACCTCCACCGCCACTTGTGTTCTTCTTTGTTCAACTCGTTTTTGCCTCAATGGATCAATTTTGTCAGGTGGACTGACTGTTTTTTACTTTTACATAAGATTCTACTCATACCTATATAACTAAAAATATTATATTACAAAAAAGCCAAAAAAAGCTTTGAATTATTTACCAATTGCTTTTAATGTTTTTCTTAGTTTCCAAGTCCTAATAATTCCTCTTACTTGAAGATCTCTTTCATAATCGTCATCGGTAAAATGATCTGAACAAATCCTACAAGTTTCTACATTCCATTTTCCATCTCTACAACTCTACACCCTTTGAATCTGCACCCATATTTGAGTAATTTCGGTATTCTTCGGGAAAGCATGAAATTTAATAATTTTTCCAAATTTTTAGCCTTTTCTAGGCTATTTTGACAAGTAGTAACTGTACACTGAGTTCACAGCATTCTAAAAATATTAAATCTTATTGTTTTTTTTTCAAAAAAAAATAGTTATTAAAAATTAGTATAAACATGCCGATAAACGTTTCTCTAGTCTGAACATTTATATAAGTAATTATACTCACTTAATTGCCAGTTCCTGAGAACTACGCAAATAATAAATTGTCCACAAAGTACTTAAATATGTGTAGTTCACAGACCACAATTAACTTAACCAGTAACACTTAAAGAAATATTAGAAAATAAAGAAATAATACAAAAACGACACAAAACCACTACCAAACCAACGGCCATTGCCATTAAAACCGTATGAAAAGAAAGAAATGGAAGGTATTAAAAAGAGATACGGCGGGTCTCAGAACTACGTCACGCACACCCGCCGTCCTCCGCGCACCTCTCGCCTAAAATCTGCCGACTGAGGTAACCTGTAGAATCTAATAACCTTGGTCTTAACCTACAGAAGTTTTAAATATGATTTTTAGCCGACCATACCAATAGGTATGATAGGCTATTAAGATCGGCAAATAAAAGTTTTTTTAATTTCACTCAAAATGAGTTATTTGGGCATAAATGACCTAAATAAATATTGAATAAATATTTTCATGGTGTCTGTCTGTCTGTCCGTCTGTAATACGATAACTCAAAAACCGCTAAACCGATTTTAACCAACTTTGGCACAAAAATACTGTGGCACCCGAGAATCTGGCCATTAGTTTTTGGTGGGAGTGAGGGGCTGGTGGGGGTTAAAAATTTAAAAAAATCGTAACTCCAAAATTACAGTAGCTAGCGAAACGCGGTTTTCAATTTAAGATTAGAAATAATATTTGCAACAAAATTTGTAGTAACATCAAAACCAGTCAAAGTCGCAGTTTTTGAGATAAAAAAAATTGAAAAAATTCCTTTACTTTGAAACTAAAAGAACTGCCTACCAACTTTTTATTAACATATTTTAGTATGGCCGGCTATACGTGCCTCCCGGCGCCAATTTTTTTTATTTACATGCTGTACACATATATAGCTGTACACAGCTGTACACATGCTGTACACAAATCGTAGGCGATCTCTCACATTTAATGCCTATCCAATGAGAGAATGCTTGGCAGTGACAGTAAGTTGTCCGTCATTTTAATTCAAAAGTAGATTATTTTTTGTGACATTTTTTGAGTGTCGACCTTCGAAATCTTCACTGTCTCTCTCGTTGGACTTAATTTTTTAATTTCATTTGTGACTTTGAATAAAAAAATTCAGGAAGGAGTATAATGCTATCCATGTATTCATGCAAGGTGGCCGGACAAAGGGCTCTAGGGTGGGGATCCTTGACAGTTCTGTTTGACGATCCATTTGACAAACTTGAATTGGATTTGAAATTTTGTGGATTTGTCAGTCTTTACTGAACTTATTTTATGTAATTTATTCTACTACTGATAGTTGTTTAAAGGTAGTAAATCTAGAAGGAAATTGTAGCAGAACTTAAATTAACAATGACACTATTGTGATTTATCGAAAAAGACTGTAAAATGGTTGGTTGTGTAGTAGCGTGCGGTAGATCTCGGTCAAAAACGAGGGAAATAATGGAATAACTTTTCGCTAGTAAAAATGCAAGTGACTGCTGTTTGACCAGCGGATCTGAAGCTACGGAAGGAATGCGAGAAAAAAAATCGATATTGCCACGTTTATCTATAAAATTGCAAAATTGCCAGACATAAACTATAAATTTAATATATTTTTATTATATATAATGTGTTTAGCATATATTGTGACGTATATTACTAAGGAATTTTAACGTAGTTCATATTGTTCGATATGTTTTATTTAATAACTTATTTCTTTCATTCTTTATAATCTGCTTATTATGAAAGTTGAAGATTTTTCAACGATATCATTGGCAAACCGGCATCGCCGCGCATGGCCGCTTATTCATCGAACATGATTGGCGAGAGTACGTCACAGGATTTGTTACCACGCGGTTGCCATGGCTTTTACGCCTTTCCTATTCGCTTGCTTTATCCCCAACTTCACGGTCTCTTCTGAAAAGAGTAGGAATATTGAATACTATTAAAATATCCAGTGGCGGTGTCATTTTTTTGATCATTATTACTTTATTTCATTATTTTATACCGGTTATCCTAAACTTTATTCCCATATTTGTCGTATATTTGATAGTTAAGTTGTGTTTTATTGTTTTGTTATCTTGTTATAATGTTTTTCGTTCGTAGTTTTTAATTATTAATATCAAGTTTGATCGTATTTTTGTGTTTTAAAATGAATAAATTTGTTAAGAGTGAAGACGCTACATAGTCAGACAAGAGAAATAATAGCTAATTTATATCGGTAGTTAATAATAACGTGGAAGAAATATCATTTGGTTTATTTCCTTGTGTTCATAATAGGGTTTGCGATGAAGAAGCTACAGAGAGTTCGCTTAAGTTGCTGCTTAAACGTAAACTTGTTAAAAACACAGAAGTTAAAAAAAGGCTTAAAACTAACCCCGATAAAATGATATCCAGCTCTGGAAAGAAACGACCACGTGAGACTGCTGTCGAAAAGCTCGACGACTTTTTCGAAGTGGTCAGGAATTTGATAAATAGATTTTATCTCGAATTCAAACTCGTCCTCACAATTAGAAAGCTTTTGCAAAAATTGCAGGAAGAATCGAATTTTCCTTTTGCAGGGAAACGCTTAGGGGGTTATTAAAATCAAATGATTTTTTTTTGGCGTAAATGTCAAAATAACAGATAAATATTAATGGAGCGGCCCATTATATTGCAGAGAGGGATATAAATATATACGCGAAATTCGAAAATATAGCCAAGTATTATCTATTTGGATGAAACATATGGGTAGACAATGACCTAACCTTTAAAAACTGCTGGCGGAGCGATACCATATCTGGTGTAATAGGCAATATTGGATCTACTGGTGAGTAAAATTATGTTTTGTTTGCGCTTCCAAAGTTAACTATTTTCAAGATTTTTTTTTTGCTGAAAATAGTTATATCTAACATTATGTATTATAGAAAAAAATATAGTTAGTACAGATATATAAATAAGACTCAGTCTTGATCATCTGCTGATGGCAGTGGTTAGCGAAACGTGCGTCCAGTGTAAAATTAAAAGTGTTTTGATGTATTGTACTGATTTAGTGTTTTATTTTGCTGTGTAACACCAAAGGTTCCAACCCCCAGCTGTAATAATTATTTCTTCTATTATATTAACAACACAATAATAAAATGATTCAAAATATTTAAGGGAGCTTTAATAAAAGCTTTTAGTGTTTATCTGCTAACTCAACAGTAACGATTCACACAGCATAAAGTTTTTTGAAAAAAATTATTAATCTGAGTATTATATTTATTTATTATTTATGATACACATTATTTTCATATAACACCGTACGCCCATGCCTATTTTATGAATGAAATTGGGCGTGTTTTGTTTACAACTGCGTTCCCCTGCCGATACCCCGTAGCTACAGATCCGTTGGTCACACTATATACCGATTTGGTCATCGAAACTGTGCGGTCTGGATTTTAACGTGTAAGACAGTGATGTAGACAGCTTAATGGAAAATCAAATGTATTAAAAAGAGATAAAAATTGGGTCGATACATTTCTTCTATGTGGTATTGCCGGGTTTTAAATCAAAATTTCTGATCCGTTGACATTTTTCTCAAAATGTCAACAAAAAAGTTGTTTCTCTTGTAAAGACAATCCGGGGACATATTGTTTATGAGAAATATTTTTAAGAGATCCATCTGATTATTATAAAATTGATTTACACTTATTACAAATGAATCTATTACAGTAACTAACTCCATATAAAGTTAATTCTAATGTGAAAAACAAATCCAATTAGCAAATTATACTGGAAAAATGCATTTTTCATAAAAAGTTTTGCTTGTTATTTGCTAAAATCCCGTTTATACTTTTCCAAATTTCCATACCGTTTCAGAGAAGATTAAAATAAAAACATGGAAATGTCTGTTCTTGTTCATTCTTTGATATTATTGACAGAATTTTAATCAACGTCATATTTTTTCTTGTTTTAAATTGTTTGTAGTGTTCAATAGTTTAGAGATTATTATTATATAAAAAATGTACTCTGAATAACTGTAAACAACAATGTTTATCTTTACGTAATGCGGAAAGGCGAGTTGAGTCAATACACGATAGCCAGCAAGCAAACAGTATTTTATTTTAAACCCCAGAGTTTTCGTGTATTCTACATTGTTAAAGAAGCACAAAATTTATTTAGTTCAATGCTACGGAAACGGTGATAATAGTTATCGGAAAATGTGATACTTTAACAACATCAAAAATGTGACGTTAATCAAAATTAATTCTAACGATCTATCAAAGAATGAAATCGAAATTATATTACCATTGTAGCCTTGTAGTTTTTGGAACTTTCCAAAGAAAAAAAATCAAATACATTTTCATGTTTTTTTGAATTTCCTCTAAAACGGTATGCATATTTGGAAAAGTATAAACGGGATTGTGAAAAGTATAAACGGGGTGCCCAGTGGCGTAGAGGTACATGCTCTCGTCTACTGTTTGACCAGCGGATCTGAAGCTACGGAAGGAATGCGAGAAAAAAAAATCGACATTGCCACGTTTATCTATAAAATTGCAAAATTGCCAGACATGAACTATAAATTTAATATATTTTTATTATATATAATGTGTTTAGCATATATTCTGACGTATATTACTAAGGAATTTTGACGTAGTTCATATTGTTCGATATGTTTTATTTAATAATTTATTTCTTTCATTCTGTATAATCTGCTTATTATGAAAGTTCAAGATTTTTCAACGATATCATTGGCAAACCGGCATCGCCGCGCATGGCCGCCTATTCATCGAACATGATTGGCGAGAGTACGTCACAGGATTTGTTACCACGCGGTTGCCATGGCTTTTACGCCTTTCCTATTCGCTTGCTTTATCCCCAACTTCACGGTCTCTCTTCTGAAAAGAGTAGGAATATTGAATACTATTGAAATATCCAGTGGCGGTGTCATTCTTTTGATAATTATTACTTTATTTCATTATTTTATACCGGTTATCCCTAAACTTTATTCCTATATTTTCGTATATTTGATAGTTAAGTTGTGTTTTATTGTTTTGTTATCTTGTTATAATGTTTTCGTTCGTAGTTTTAATTATTAATATCAAGTTTGATCGTATATTTGTGTTTTTAAAATGAATAAATTTGTTAAGGGTAAGACGCTACATAGCCAGACAAGAGAAACAATAGCTAATTTATATAGGTAAGTAGAATAATAATAATATAATTA